CACACACACACACACACACACACACACAAACACACATGCATACATACATACATGCACGCACATGCCAAATTTGACAACCGTACGTTTGGCACGTTCCGTAGGCATGCCAGTGCTAGGGGGGTCTGGGGGCATGCCCCCCCCCCAGAAAATTTTGATATATTTAAGCCATTTTCCTGCAATCTGAGGCATACTGTGGGCCATATTCTCATGTCTGATGGCACTATCTCAACCCTAGAACTTCAAGAGCGGGGGGGATGCATCCCCCCATCCCCCCGTGATTTACGCCCCTGGTGCAAATAACTGAAAGAGCGCGCGGAGCGCGCATTCTAGGGGGTGGGTGCAGGGAGGGGGGAGTTTTCCCCCTCCCACGCGAAGCGCGGAAGCTCTGACGTTTCATTAAATTATTAGAGAAAGAAGACGATTCGTTGTACCGTTCTCAACTCTTAATCCAAAATTTTCAAAAATAATATTGGATTTATTGTATACAATAATATACAAGATTTCGATTTTTTTTAGGATATCTTCAGAAAAGAGCATCATGCATGTGATAAATATATTGACGTTTAAATCAACCAATCACCAAACAATCAGCGTTTCATCATAAGATTTCCATAATTGCTAGCAGGACTGTGTGACAGGTCAGACACAATAAGAATACACAAGTAGCACGTAGAGAACCCGACCCGCTGTACACAAAATATCCGTAGAGCTCGATAGTCATATTATTGTGTAGGTACGCATGATATGTTATGCCGAGCTGAATGAAAGGCGAACTGCGCTGGGCTCAAAGCTCATTTCACAAAATATTTTTAAATAATTAAAAGATATCTGTTGTTTCTTTTATAATCTTTTTAATGTGTCTTTGTATGCTCCTTTTTCTTCCTACGTCCTCTTACTTTTTTCTCTTCTCTCTCTTTTTTTTGGCCGGCGTTTTGGGGGGCGACCGCCCCCACCGCCCCCCCCCCTGGCTACGCGCCTGGTTCAGATGTGTTTAATCACATCAACCCTTCAATCCATCTGACATCTGAAGACTTCAGTTTAATACTGTTGGGTTTAGCAGCTGCACTCCATACCCTCGCCCCCCCCCCACTCAGTGTTATTTAGGGTAC